GGCGGCTTCCGGCAACTGAAGGGTTACCGCGAGGCAGCGGCGCGCGCCGAGGGTAGAGGCGGTTGCTGACAGGTGGCGCCTGCGCACTGGGAGCGCTCATTGTGCCCCGCAGCTGCCGAACCGCCCGTCAGTCAGCCCGCCAGCCGCCCGTTCGGTGCGTTAGTCTGCGAGAGTCGGGTGGTGGGTGCGGAGCCTGCGGCCGTTCCCGCGGCCTCCTTCTCCGTCCTCCCTGTTTCCCTCACCTCCACCCCACACTCCTTTCTCCATTCCGGCTCCGTCACCCTCGGGTCCCTCACACTCAGGACGAGAATGCCCTGCCCGGAACAACCCAGCAGCGCCTAGATGGCTTTGGTCACGGTCCAGCGATCGCCTACTCCCAGCACCACCTCCAGCCCCTGCGCCTCGGTGAGTCTCTCCCGGCGGCTGCTCGGCTCTCTACTGTCACTGCGGCTCCGCTTTGCCTCAGCGGGTCCCGCCGAGCGCCACTGCGCACGCGCCGCGCCGCTTCCCAGGCCTTGGCGCTCGGCTGCCGCGAACCCCCAACACCCCCCCATCTGAAAGACGAGCGGCAGGAACTACGGGGACGTCGATTTTTTTGCCCCCATCACCCCGGGCACCCAGCTCCCGCAGCCCTGGCCCGAACCCCCGCCCCTGTGGCATGCTTTCCTATGGCTTGAGCACTTCCTTTCGGGAATGAGTCATTCTGGCTTTCCACCCTCCCCCTTCCTTTTCCCTCTGTTGCTTTGCTGCAGGGAGAGGACCATGGGACTTGTGCGTTGCCCCTTACACCCACCCACGTCCCCTGACCCACACCCATTTCGTGGACCCGTTCAGTGTTCGCACGCCCTTCGTCAGGCTCGCTCTCTGTGTGCCTGCCCCCAGTCGCTCGCTGGCTTCCTTGTGCTCTGTGCTGCTCGGGCTTCGTTGGACTGCTGAACGGTAGTTACCCCTAGGTTTCTTCCCTCCTCCCCTCCCCCAAAGGGTGGCTGTGGTCTCTGCTTCTCGGACCTCTTACCTTTCCTCTACGAGATCCCCAAGCATCTGGTGCTGCATGATGACCCATGCCAACTCCTTTACGTCTTACGGACATCTATGCCTCACGCTCGCTGCTCTTGATCGTTCTTGTTGTTGGGTCGTGTTTGTGTGGCTGGTTAGTTCAGATGCCTATGCCAGTGAAGCGTGCTTCCAGCAGGAAAATACCCACTAACCAGCCCTTTCCTGCTGTGCCCTTCTTTGCCTTCTTTCCTAACCCCACCCCCACTCCTGCACATAACTATTCTTCTAGGCTTTATTTTTGAAAATATTTAGTTTCAAAAATAAAATATTGCACCAGCGGGGCGAAATGGGATCTTAAAATTAAAAAAAAAATCCAGATGTTTTAGAGGGGAATAGGCCAAATGAAACTGTGGGCAGTTGGAAAAGCCACCTTGAACTTCCTACAGATCTATAATTTTTAAAACTGTGTTGGTGGCTTTAGTAGTTTCAAGTTGCAAAAAGGTATTCAATGAACACTGTGCCACCTTCCACTGTAAAAAAAATTGGGTTGTTCTTAATATTTATATGTTAACTGGCTTGTAATTTCAACATAGTTTACTGAATTTCAGAATTTTCTTGTGTACGGTGGTGGTTTC